ACCGAGTTCCGCTAAAGAGTTCATAACAATAAGTAGGATCCATTGAGTACGTACAAAGCAAAAAAAAGGTCTTCAGTGTCGTAAATGTGAGTTTGATAAATTTGAATTTTCAAGAAAAAACAAACTCTACAAATCAAACAGTTACACCTACTCTGGTTAATCATGGGACTTATTGATAGCAATGTAGCAGATGAACATATTCTCAAAAGCACCCCATTTCAAGTGATTGCAAATACGCAAAATTATTTTAAAATGTTCTACAAGTCTTGAATCTTTTAACAAAAATGCTGCTCCTTCGAGATATTTTGCACTGTGCATACTTATTGCGGTTAATTTTTAGAATTCCTTAGCAGGCTCCTGAGATAGGCCTCGAAGACTTTCCAAAAAGCTGGGCTTACAATGTTTTTTTTTGCACTTGCGAGATATTTTTTAATAGAAAAATAAATGCTGTCAATATATTCAAATAATTATGTATACGTAACAATCAAAAGATAGATAGGGTCAAATTATGTTCAGTTATTCAGCTGCTCCAGAGTATTCTTTCCACGTATGGTGGTTTGGTTGATGGTAGCCGCAGATTGATTACTGATGAAAAATTTTTCTGATTCTTATCGACTTTATATCAAAGAGGAATAGCATTTTGGAATTGACTTCATCACAGCCCCTCTGAGTGTGAAACTTGTCGAACTATTCGTCCTATTCATATTCTGATAGCTAGATTTTTTTTCGCTTTTTCAACTGTAACTTGTTCCACCGTAGATAATGGTAAGCGAACTATCCAAGTGAGAACAATGAATAATGAGGCTCCTTTATATGGAATCAATGTATGCTTGGATGTTTACTCCTAATGACAATTTTCGGCAAAAATTTATTTCAAAGTCATCTACGCACATAGTCGATACTTCTACATATGGTAGCTGATTGGATTCGACAATGATGAGAGTAAATCAAATCTATTAGTGTGCTATACCCATATCTACAAAACGCTACTGTTTGGTTAGCGCAGCAATCGCCTCAATGTTTGGACATAAACTGTCTTATGGAAAACTGAGACTCAGGTTAGTGCAAGCTTGTGTAGTGCGGAAAATAGGGACCAAAATTCTAAAGAAAAATGTTTTGCAGAGTTCGCTTAGATGTTAAGTGCAAAGATAAAGCAGTGGGTTATGGACAAGACAGGTTCATTGAAAGTTAGTCGTTATGAAAGACTATCTATTGGATCTATCAAGTCCTGTGATTGAGTGCTCAGTTTGTTTGTATATGTTTGTGTGTGCTTCTCCTCT